CAAAAAAAAAAAAAAAAAAAAAAAAAAAAAAAAACCAAAAAAAAAAAAAAAAAACAAACGCAAAAACTGAAATTGTTAATTAAAGAACTAATAAAAACAGAAAACATATGCAAATGAGTTGAAAATGTTTAGGAGGCGTTATGGATAGAGCGTAGTCGGATGATATAGGACGATCGATTGATTGATTGATTGATATGTAGCTCTGCAACTTTTTAGCATTTAGTACTAAGCAAATTGGCGATGGATATATAAATATATATATACATAAACCTATAAATGCAAATAAAAATTAACACAAAAATTCGAATTTAATTAATTGTAAGAAGATAAAAAATAACTTAGCACTAGGTGAAAGCAGTAAGCAGCAAATAAAAAAAAAAAATAAAATAAAAACAAACAAACAATATATATATATACATATGTATGCATATATATATATACATATTTGCGATATGCTTTTGAGAGAAATACACTTAAGTCCAACAATTTAAAGAGAACCACAAATGGTTTTTGCGTGTAGCCTGCAACAAACAAAGCAAAACAAATATCATTTTTTATAATATATAAATGAGAAACTAAAAACAAACAAACACAAATAAATAATTTAATTAATAAATTTGTTAGAAATACATATTTAAAAAAAAATGGAAAAGAAAAAATGAAAAATCAACGCGAGTTGGATAAATTCAATTCATTTTACATGAAAAACCCTTTTGAGTTAGGCAACTAGGAAAATCGTAAACGATTTTATAGCATTAATATATATGTATATAATATATATACATATATATACATATTACAAAAGGAAATCAAAGAAAACTTTACACTTAATCTTAGCTGCTTGTAACAAAAACAAAAAACCAATACAGGTACTTACATATATATGTATATATATGCTTGCATATATGTATATGTATATATTGAAATAAAGAACTGTATATATACATATATGTATATGTACATATATGTATATATTTATATGAAGAAACTATATAAACTAAAACCAAAAGTTGCCAGGGTACATATATATATGTATATATGTATATACATTTCTATATGTACAACAGACAACTAAACATTTGGCCACTTATTTTCACAAGCTCCAATTAGAAAAAAAAAAAAAAAAAACAAACAAACAACTAACAAGAATGATGTTGACCATATAACGCGCCCTTAGCCCTGTTAAGAGAACTAAGCTAACAGAAACACAAGAAAAATTTACACAGTCATTAAATTAAGAACACATAATAAGTCTTGAGTGCATAAATTATTATTGATGAAAATATATATATATATATATATACATATATACATATTTAGCATTTTTTTATATATACAATTAAAACAAAAACATTTTTAGCGAAACTAGAAAATTGAACACAACATTTTTATATTTCAATTGATATGTTTTTGCCTTTAATTAAACACACACACACACAAACACTACTTGCAAAACAAAAATATCTTACTAAAATATATTTACTCAACTCTGTTTGAAACATCATTACAAAACATTTTTGACATTATCTTGAACAAGAAGAAGAAGAAGAAGAAGAAGAAGATGAAAAAGTTATATCTGTACAAAACAAGGAAAAGTGAAAGATTGTCAAAAATCTACAGCTAAATATGCCAAAAAATAAAACGTTGATGAGAGAACAAGAAGAAGCAGCAAATAATTGATTAACAATTATTTGCGGTTTGTATAGTGTAAACGAGAGAAGAAGAAGAAGAGGTAACATAAAATTGAAATACGTTTAGCGCCTAGTCTGCGGGCTTGGAACAAAAGCTCGCGACAAACACATATTTGATACTAATGATAAAAATAAAACATATATAAAAAACCAAAAACTAAAAAACACAATTAATTATTAAATAATAAATAAATATATATTAAAGTATATAAGAATATTTAAGCATACAACAAATTGTTATGAAAGTTAAAGTTACTTTTGTTACCAGTGCAATATATAATTTGTTTACATTTCAGTTTCACACACACACACACAGCACACACACACACACACAAGCACACTCACACCCAGTCATACAAAGAGGAAATATAATCAAAAGCAACAGCAGCCAGAAATCATGAAGAGTTGGAACAGAGTATTACGTAGTTAGTTAGTTCCAATCCAAATCGATATCCAGTCCCATATTTCTTGGCAAAAGTCTTTTTGTCTCACAGCCTAACTAATTTCGATTAAATAAGTTTTCTTTTATGAAATGTTACGCCTAGAAATCTTGTAAATATAAACGAAACTCGAAGGCGGATGAAAGTCCCCCCAAACTGCAAAAGCAAAGAAAATATGAAATGAAAACACACGCAAGGATGCAAATGCAACTGTGCATTATATACATACATACATACATTTAAAAAAAAAAAAACAAATACTTAAATATAGCTATATATAAATACATTCATGCATACATACATACATACTTACTTAAATTTAAATGCATAATTTAATATCAATAATTGATTTTAGCAACTATTCTGTAGTTAAACAACAGTTGAGTAACAGTTGAGTAACGCCCTCAGATTTTTGCAGCTTCGAAATGCTAATCTAGATTTTTACTAGAGCAACTTACACTCACACCCTCACACACACACACACACATATATACACACTCTCACTATATACATATATGTATTTGCGATCTTGTATGAATCGATCTAGTCAAATTCAAGTTAATTATTGCATAAAAAACACACAAGAAAATAAATAAACAAAAATGAAAACCAACTTAAAACAGAGTCAAACTATTGAGATAATAATAAAATAATACAAATTATTATTATTATTATTATTATTACTATTATTATGATTTTGTATTGAAAATACACGAAAAAGTATTTAAATTAAATATATATATATATATATAAATACTTATATATATATAAATATTATTATTATTATTATTATTATTCTATGCTATTATACAAAAGGAAAAACGTTTTAGACTATATACACAATATTTAAATAAAAACTAAAATAAAATATTAACAACTTAGTGCAAAAAAACTGATTTTGGCAAAATTATGCAAATTATACTATATCAAAATGAAAACAAAAACTTAAATTATCATACATATTATTATTATTTCTAATACGTAAAACAACAGTAAACTAAAAAAAGATGAAGATGCGGATGAACAAATAAAAGCGATCAACAAATTGAGAAAAATACAAAATACCAAAAAAAATCGAAAACTTGTTTCATTTTTCTTTATTTCCATTCCGTTTTTTTTTTTTTTCAAGTGTGATGATGACGTTGATGTGGCTTGTGAATTGGCAGACGGAATGACAAAGAGAGAGCTTTGACGGACGGACAGACAATTTGGCACATTATATACCCATATCACTTTCTATATAACTATAACTATCCAAAATTTTATGATTTCTTTCGCAAATTGTAAACTTCAAAACAAAAAGAAAAAAAAAAAACACAAAAAGGCTGTGACTCGAAAAAAAAAGAAAAACTAAAAAAAAAAAATACTAAAAATCAAATTGTTTGCATTTTGCTTTAAATTTTTATATTTTTTACTTTTATTTCGAAATTCAGCTTAAAGAAATGTTTATTTCGTTTCCAAAAGCGGTGATAAAATGCAACCAAGAAGCCAAATCAAAATTAACGCAAAGATACATAAAAAAAAAAAAAAACAAAAACAAATATTTAAAAAATAAAAATATAGTAACCAATAAAAACGAATAAATAATTAATGCTTAAATATTGAGCGCTTATTTTAAATTCGAAATGAAATGTGATGAAAACAAGAGAAAACAAGTTAAATAAATATAAATCGAATTGAAATTAATGAAGAAAAAAAGAGAAAAGAAAAGAAAAAAAAAACAATTGTACCTTGAGCATAAAGCGCAAAAATTGGATTAATACAGAAACCAAACACAAATGAGAAACAAACAAAAACTAAGAGAAAAACAATGAAGTGCTAGGCAAAACCCTATAGAAAGATGCGCCCGGTTTCGTCCAATTTGTTTGTAATGAAGGCAGCCACGACAAAAGATTTCACATGAGATTGGCAGTTGCATTTGCAAATTTTGCCAAAATACAGTTTACTGCTCAATTTTCCAACTGATTTTGTTGAACTCAAAGAAAAAGGAAGAAGAAGAAGAATAAGAAGAAAATTATAGCGCGTTCCAACGCACTGTAAACTTAATATACAAAGCTCATCATATCAAGCGCGTATATCGTAGATCATTAAAGCATCCACGCATGCGCTCTTCTAGGCGATTCTCATAGATGATACTTTGCTTAGGAGGAACAGGCATAAACACAATTTAAATGGTTTAGTTTTTTTATTTTTGCTTATTTAAATTTAATTTGAAACCAAAAATTAATCTTAATATTAAGCATTGTATATTTAACTAAAAGAAAATGAAGTCTCTTATCGATGATCGTTCCTTAAACTTAAATCATAAGATTTACCATAACAATACTTACTTATAGTAGCTACACAAGATGATATATATATATACGATATGTGTGTATATATATCTCGATTTAGTGCTATATGAAAATAGTATTTTTATTATGAGATGGGCATTCTTATAGAATGTTTGAATTATTATTTTTAGAAATCAACTAACTAACTAAACTAACTAACTTATTAATTAATTACTCTATTGCTAGTTAATAACGAAGGCTAGACAATGTAGTGAATGAAGCTTACAACACTTATACAACAACAACAACAAACAAACAAACAAACAACAAGAACAAGAACAAGAAAAACAACCAAAAAATATAAACACATGAGTCCAAGTTTAGAACTTAATAATCAAAAATATATTTAGATACACTTTTCTGCAGGTATTTAACTAACAACTAAATTATTAACAAAAGCGAAAGATTATACTACAAATAATAATGTAAACTATAGAACTATAGAACTATAGAGCAAAGCACATTCAACATTGACCCCACCATAAACCAAGGACTACTAAATTTCATACACTAGTTTTTTATACACCTACGACTAGCACACACACACACACACACACACACATACAGACACACATAGTTAAACGGGCCCAAGTTTATAATGGAGGGTGCATATCTTTTTTGCTAGGCCAGGAGAACATTTTTGCCTTGATAGCATTTGGGTTTTTGTTGAAATCGAAACACGAATAACTTATAGGAAACAGGGTAAAAGATGCAATTAACAATTATAATACTTGAATTAAAATCATACTAATAAAATAAAAATTATAATAATAATAATGATAATAATATATGATATTATAAACTTTTGTTATATTTCTTCCCCTATTCAAGCTTTTGCACTATGTACGTTTATTTGAAACATTTTAAAGCTTTGCATACAACTAGAATTTGCATTGATATATAAATATATATATATATATATACATATAGTTCTAGTATATTCTAGTATATTTAGGAGCAAGAAATGGGCATAGTTCGGGACATGAGTGCAGTAGTAAGCAAGTATATAATCTATATATATCCATATATATATAGTTGAAACACAACCAGCAACAATAATTGGCGGCGCTTGTAAGAAAGCTCAGAAAGTGCATTTAAAAAATATTGAATAAATATATATATATATAAAAATGAAAACAAAAACGTTTTTAAAATATATATATGTATAATGGTAAATTGCAAAAAATAGGCAATATATACATATGTACATATATATATGTATATTATTCTATTATTATGACAATTATTATTATTACGAAAATCCAAATTTTTGCAATTATACAAAAAGGTAAACAACGGTAGGAAAGAAAATGCTATGCAAATGAAAAGCGAAAGTGGAAAATGGAAAAAGGCCCACGGTTATTTTTTGTAGATAAAAATGTTATCTTTTAGAAACTTAGCCAAATATTAGATACTAATACAGATGCAAAGGCGGCACTTAAGGCACACTCGAGGCTGAGTGTAAAACAAAAACAGAAAAATCAAAGCGAATTTATATTGTAAATAGAAACAAGACACAAAGCCCAATGCTACTAATATAAATTATTTAATAATAGTTGCTAGTCTAGACTTTAGCAGACATTAACACACACGGACACACACACACACACACACACACACACACATACTAACACATGCCCACACACACTTTAAGTAATGTTTCTGTTGCGTTTAATACCCTATAAAGCAGCTTATTCTAGTACACAAAAACGTTACTTTCCGTTTAGAAATCCGTCCGTAATTAGCATTATGCACTAGCACACACACACATACACACACACACATACACAGAACACGATCACGCACACCTAAGCAAATTGATTTGCATCTGATAGAAAATACTTTTGAAGATTTTATGCGCAGCACACTCAAATACAAATTTAGTTAGCACACACACACATGCACACACGCACACACATGAATAAGATTATAACAGCTGATAAGTTATTATTTGGAATTTTTGAAGAGCACCTTTAACGAAAACAATAAAGAAAGAAAATAAATAAATTAGCAGCAGAGAGAAAATGCAGTTAAATGCCATATAAAAGTAAGAGAAAAACATATAAATTAAAGAAAAGAAAAACAAAACAAATTGTAGCTAAAGATGTAAATTTATCAAACATGTTTCATTTAAAGAACAAATCTCATTCCTTTCTGCGATTATACTAAATGGATAATTGAATGCTTGCTCTTGTCAAATGTTTCCTATGTTTCCAAACTACAAAAAAAGCAAACAGAAATTGAATAAGATATTAAACAGAATTAAATGTTAAATGTAAAATGGTTTCAAAATCAAAACAAAACGAAATAAAATAAATGTGTAGTAATGAAACAGAGAAATTTCCAAACAAATAAAAGAGAGAAACGAAAACAAAACAACGTTTACATCAAAGTTCAAATCAATTTCACACACTTCGATGCAAGCTTTTTCTCAAATATGTAAAGCACAATTTGAATAATATTGACAAATTTATGTTTTTTCTCAAGTTCTTTGATTTGAGATAAATGCAATTCGATTCTTAAAGCACAGCGCAACGGCAGATAAAGGAAAACACATTCACAACTCACAGCAGCACACGCACACACACACACACACTCATACATACATACGTGTACTTAATTAAATTTTTAAAAAATTTATATTTATATACATGCGTACATACATACATAATACAGGCATATACATAGTACATATAAAGAGAAAGGCGCAGGAGGAGAACTAATAGGAAATGTAGATGAAAAAGCAAGGAAAACATACGAGTAAATAGCGAAACAAAAACAATTTAAAATAGCAAAGAGAAAGGTCTTTATATATATATATATACTATACATATGTGTATATTAAATACTATTTATAAATAATAACAACTCAATGGCGAAGTGTGTAAAAATTGTGCATTCGTTCATGGGGAAAAAAACAAAAGGATGAAAGTAAACACCGAAAAAAGCAAACATTACAAAGAAATATATCTATGAATATATATATATATGTATATGTATATATATATATATATATATTTATGTATATGTATATATATATATATTTATATTTATATTTATATTCAATTTAATGATTGAAGCCCAAAAACACATTTATGAAATGCTATCAAATCAACTATTAATTAATTAATTAATTATGAAAGCAAGCAAATTAAAGCAAAACATACAAAAAACTATGCAAATATTTTAATACTTAACAGGCGTAAAGAGCAGAAACCCAACATTAAACAACAACAACAAAACAACTCTAGTTTAAACAACAATAATTATTAATAATTTATGCCATACAAGAAACATACATAAATAAACCTAAACATATATATTTATAAGTAACTATATTAACAAAATAAAAAAATAACAATAACAATTAGAAGAAAGAAACAACAAAAACTACATTCTTACATTATATTTGCGCCGATTTCTCATGTTGTTGTTTTTGCTATTCTTTCTATATATATTTATATATATACAAATATATGTATACATATATATTTACTTATTTATTTGTATTATTTCATTTTGATTAAAACGTTTACGATGGAGAAAGCAGTTAGGCCAAACGCGCGGCAGAAGCTAACAATAATATAAAATAATAAAAAGAAAAACTTAAAGAAAACAAAAAAGTAATAAGAAATTAAATATACATAAAATAAATATCAAAAAGTTTTAGGCTACATTTTGACAGTTTTAAAACGGGAAAAAAACAATGGCAAACTTTGTAAACTTTGTTTCGTTGGCCAAAACTCTGGGCGTCGTATATGGGCGACATAGAATGAGAAACATATATTATTATGGTAAAGGTAGCAGAGCAGAAAACGAAAATGGAAAATTAATAAATGGAGCAGAGCGGGAGAGGAAAAAATATAAATGAACAAGTAAACCAGTTATAATTACAACAATTAAATTATTATTAATAAATAATTATTATACATGACAACTTATGCAAATGTAATAAGTGAAAAACAAAAATTATATATATATTAAATAAAATGCAAAAAAAACGGCAAGTTTAATATATGAAAAAAAAAAAAAAAACAAATATTAAGAAAAAAGGAAAAACAAAATGGTAATATTACAAAAATGCAGAAAAATATATATTATATATACTTTATAGACATTTAAACATGAAAACAAAATGCAAAGAACAAACTAAAAAATAAAGTTACAAATAATAAACTTTTACCATAAAAACTTCTGGTGTTTCTTATTTAAATTTGGCGGGTATCTCGGTTTGGCGCACATCTGGCAACTCTTTTGTGCTTAGTAAGTCAGCATGCACCGATCTGGCAGCACTGTTTGCTGTTGCTTGGTAACGAGTCGCCCTGTGCTCAAATAAATAACGAAGATTTGACTGCAAGCAAAAATTTTCGCATTTCAAAAATTAATTTATTAAATAAAAAATAAAATAATAATAATATAAATAATGAGTGACCAGCTAGATCAATTAGCCGCCGCTGAGTTGCAGCGCTTGCAACGCCAACATCGCTCGCTTCAGCTAGATTTGCGTGGGCTGCTCGAGGAAAAGGCGAAACGCCTGAAAAAGCAAAATCACATGATTAACGTATTGCAGCAGGAAAACGAGAAGCTAAAGGAAGAAATCAAAACATTGGAGGGCGGCATCCATGCTCGCCGTAATACCAATAAGGAGAAACAGCTAAGCAATCTGCAAGAGCAGCAATCGGAGCTGCAGCGCGCCTATCAGAGTGAGCAAACTAATCTGTGGGAACTGGAGGGTCACATACGTAAAATGGAGAAAGAGATTGATGCGCTGCGACGCAATGAGGTGCCCGACAACTGCTACAAGGACACCATCTGCAAGGTGCAAAAGAGCGTAGTCAAACTCGAAAACCGCCTGGATGTGGTCAACAAAAAGTGCAGCGATGTTCTAACGGAAAATAGCAAGATGAGAGATGCCATCAATCATATGCTGCAAGATCGGTGAGGGTTAATGAGATATTATATTTGATGCTCACATTTTCCATAAATCAATTCAGTGCAAATTTCAACGAGATGTGGCAATCAATGGTGACCCAGTTCAACGATGGCAAAAAGCTAATCATGGACCTCATTGATCAGTCCACAATGGCATTCGATCAGCGGCAGGAGCTCTGCACAAAGCTGTCCGTGCTCAAGGATCGCAATGAGAATGACAAAGTCATGCACATCCAGGAGATGCGAGAGATGCAACGTCGCTTAGAGCACGACGCCAAGCTGCAGAAGTTCTTCGATATCAAGGGTCAGAAACGGCTCAATCCGGAGCTGGAGCAACGTGAGCTGGATAAGAGACAGAGCCAGAAGGAAAACTATGAGCGACAGCTGTTCGAGTATAAAGAGATCATAGAGAGAATCAAACAGCTCTATGGCGAGGATGACACCGAACGTCTGGTGGCACAATTCAAGCGCCAGGAGGACGAAAACTTTGCGCTCTTCAACTACGTGAACGAGTTGAGTCACGAAGTAGAAGTGCTCAACGATACCACACAAGAATTAACAGAGGAGATTGGTAAGCTATGAGCCTGTGTGAAGAGCGATGCCTAAGGGATGATAATATTGTTTCTTGTAGAGCGTCAGAAGTCGGAGCAAACAGAGAAGGAGCTGAAGCTAAAAACTGAGGCCTTGGACTATTTAAATGACGAACTGGCGCGCATAGAACAGCTGGCCAAGGAGACGAGTGAAAAGAAACACAATCTGAGCAACAGATTGCAGCAGCTGCTGAAGGGTATAGAGGAGATATTCAAGTGGGTTTACTTCAGATATTATTGTGTACATATATATTTGTATGTATATATTCCAATTTGCTTAATAACTCCCTCAGATTGCTGGCTTGCGATGATGCGCCCATATTGAATGTGCTCAGCTCGAAGACCTTCCTCACGGTGCACAACGTGAAGCTCTTCATAGGCGTCATCGAGCGTCGAGTGAACATTATAATCAGCACCATTAACATTGAGGATAATTCCAACAGGATCTTGGCCAGAAAGGATCGTGTGCCGAAGTTCAATATACGCGAATCAGCTAAAATGAAACACTAATTGAAATCTCGAAAAGGAAAACACCATATATTTATTTAATTTAACTTGTAAAGTAATGCACATAATTTACACATATATATTTATATATAATATATATATGTATATACAATATATTTATACCTATACATATATTTCTTTATATCAGAACAATTGTGACTAATCTCATGTACTATAGCTTAAGTTTATTGCATTGAACATAAGTCCTTAAACCAAATAGAGATAAATAAATATTGCGGCTCGCATTGAGCAATTGCTATGCACAATTTAAAACTAAAAACAACATGCACACAAATATATACAACTATATGTATATCATAGTTATGAATAAATAAAAGGTATACAAACATAAAGCTTTGGATTGTAATATCCAATAGGCAAATACTCTACGAAAATGATTGGCAATTGATAATTGTAAAATTCAACAAGTCATTCGAATATACCTAAAGTTACATTATGAAATATTGGTTTTGTGATTCAATATTCTTTTAACAGGCTTCGTTTTAAATATCAACAAAAATATAGATATATGTATATATATATACGTATGGACTACAGTTAAAAGTGGCCAAGAGCCAGTATAGATTCAGATTCCACATAGACACGCCTACAATCCTCACTCGAATGTTACGGCTCATATGCAATCAAATCGCTGGCCAAAGTTGTTGGCACGGGCGTTGTCAAGTCGCGACTTTCGCCGTTGAGCAAATAGACAGGTACATTACTAGACGCCACTTCAATCTCGTGTGCGGCTATTACACTGCTCGGCTCCAGCTCGGGAGTGGGCATACGCACTTGCATAGCACTGGGCTTCACTGTTGCATCCTCCTCGCTGCACGACTCCCCATTGTTGGCCAACGTTACATAGGCGGCAATGCAGTCTGGCACAGGTGACGATGAAGCAGCGGGAGTGGGTGAAGAGGCAGGAACATCAGGACCAGAAGTAGCAACAGGAGTAGTACTACAATCAGTGGGAGTATCAATATTAGCAATGTCAGCAGTGTGAGCACTATCAGCAGCATCCACAGTAGCAGTATCAATATGGACAATATTATCGGCAGTAGCTGTATTAGCTGCATCACCAACCGGAGCTGGACTATAAGCACCGCTCAATATCTCCTGCTGAGCCAGTTTCTTCTTTTTATTAAAGTTCTTTATCCTTGACCAACAATGCTGCTTTCGCCGACGCCGCTTGCCGAGCTTTCGCTGCTTAGGCTGATCCAATTCTTTCTAAAACAAGAAGCGAAAAAGTTCAGTAAATTCAAATGTATTGAGCCATGAAATGCACCTACGTTAATACTGTCCTCAATGTTGCTGCGTGACATTTCCAAGTTGTCAATATGGACACGCTTCAGTCTTACAATAGGCATGAGCAACCTTGTAGTCGCTGTTGTTGCTGCCGTTTTTGCTTTCGTCTCCACCGCAAAGTTTTTTATTATCTCCAGATCTCTTTCTAGCTTATCTATATCATTACGTAACTTCATATTTGCTGCACACAATCGCTTTTTCACCTTTAGATCTGACACTGATTGAGATTTTATCGTAGCATTCAGCTGGCGCTTCTCGTCCATTCTTCTACGTTGAATTTGCAGCAGACTTTTGTAAAATTCCACGTGCTCCGTGGAATTGTCTGAGAACTTGCGACGGTCAAATTTAAACTTTCTGGCCAAGGCCTGCACCTCAACGTCTATGGGATTCTGTACGCTATCAAAGGACTTTCGAGGGCGACATGTCTCTATTGAACTGTGCGTGGAGGCGGGCGGAGTGGGCAATGAGCGCTGTGAGCTGCGAGGCGGCAGCCTTTTCGGTTGCGGCGTCGGTGTGCCACTGGAAGCATTGCTCGTAGTGGGCGTTAGCTGACTCGTGGGCGTGGGCGTGGGTGTCGGCGTGATAGCGGCTGGCGAGCGTGATTGCTGACCTTGACGGTCACGTCGGTTGCAGGAAGACAACGATTCGTTAGTCCGTTTATCACAGTTTTTCTTCGATTCCAGTTTGCTAAACATCCGCTGACCGGCAAGTAAATGTTCTAAAAGAATGGACATTAAAACTATTACAATCAATATAAATAACAGGTGTATGGATAGTATTACCTTTACGCCCCATCCACTTTAGGGATTCGATAAAGTCCATGTTTGAACTGGGCTTCGTCAGATGCGTTAGTGATGTATAATTTGTTTTATTGTAACGCTTAATAGACGGCTTTATATTTTTAGGGAATTTCTTTAACTGGGCTTTCTTCGAGGCGACCAAAGGTTGTGCACTAAACGTCACCTGCTTCTTGTGCAAGGAGGCTTCGCTACTATAACTATTACGACTAGATGATTGATGGCAGTGATGATTGTCATTGGGTTTAAGTTTCGTACTAGCCCCCGGAGTGGTCTTCCTGCGACTGAACGACGCTTCGTAGAGCAGCTCGGTGGTTGATGGACTGGCTGATTGGCCTGTGTCTGAATGGAGCATGCAGCTGGATATGGCATCATCATGGAAATTCAGCTGCTGCTGTTCGTCTAGCTCCAACAGCTGTTGTTGATTTTGTTCCTCCTCATCTTGCTCTGCCGTTTGCACACACTGATCTACAAGATGTGGCGGTGTCTGCGTTGTGGACACCAGATGCAGACTATCCCTGCGGCAGCTGTAGCTATTGACTATGCGCGGCATTGTCATTGTATAGGTGGCAGCAGGAGCGGCAGGAGATGCAGAGGCAGCAGGAGAAGCGGAGGAAGCTGACGCAGCAGATATGGTTGCGCCACCGCTCGTCGCTCGCTGATATGTGCGCAAATTAATGGGATAGATGCGCGTTATGGGCACATAATCATCATCGCCCACTCCAGTCGCCTCGTTCGAGTTAGAAGATCCACTGCTATCCACATTCGCGGGTACACTGAAGTCAAGTGAGAACATTTCCTCCTCCTCGTCCGATTCGCACAGATCCACAACTTCGCACGTGCTGTCTATGCCTCGATACAAAGCCGTGGCACGCTTTACAGGCTCCAAGCGACTGGCATTGCGACACAAGCGCTTGAGGAAGTCGGGCGGATCAGGAGCTGGTGGTGGTGGTGGTTCTTGCTGCGTTGCGCTCGACGATAAGAACAAAGTGCTGATCAATACCAAACCAGATTCAGAATCTGCTTCCTCTTCATCCGAGTCAAGGATCTGTTGGCGAAAATTAAATGAATAAATAGTTATTCTGAAATTGTGCTATCGTAAATCTAGTCTAATCTCTTATATATTTTACTCAGCTAATGTTGAAGTCATTTTATGAGCAGCAGAGACACGTTCGCCTGCGCACGAAACGCGACTAACTGCGTCGGTGCAGGACAAGGCGTGACCGTCTGCCCAACTCAGACCTTTTACTAAGACATCATTATGGACAAAGTAAAGGAAAAGGGAGCGATCTTATTTTAATAGATGACTTACTAATTCGCTGGGGTAAATCATCCGATTGTCCATTTTGCTGGCTGAATGCAATCCTCGGCAGCACTGCTTAAGGCTGAGATATTCCAAAATGATCCGCGTGGCCGTGTTGGGTGTATTGTATTTGGGCAGATGCTCTATGTAGGCGGGATTGTAGAGCAGCGTGCGAGCAGGTCGCATAAACTTGATGGCAAACTCAAAGATGCGCTGCTTGGTCGACTCATTACGCTCCAGTCGTTGCCAGTAATAAAATATAATAATATATTCAATGTATATCTTATCGGGCAGCTCGACCTGACTGAACAGGCCAGTTGTTGAGGACCATTCCGGAAAAAGGCGGCTAAAATGCAGATGTATGCAATAATAAATTATACACTTGATAATGCTTTTTAATCAGCTACCAACCTGTAGAAGACCGTGATAATGTTGGCCTGGCCATACAGCTTGGGTATGGCGATTAGTGTGCGCAGTGTGTTCTCCTTGTGTAGAGCGGAGCTCTCTTCATTGCCCTCGACATACAGACTGAGCATGCTGCCAATTCTTTCAATAATGCACTGATCCTTCTCGATGCGATCCTGTGCAGCGCACAGCTCACAGGCAATATAATTGGCCACAATGTAGCACCAGCGATCACGACTCAGGGTCCAGCTGTTGGTGGCCGACAGGCGCTGGCCCAGTAGAGTGTGTATCAGGTCCGCGAGGCCGATTATGCTGCGCGCCAATTTGCGACATATTGTGGGCGAGTTCTGCGCGTACTCCAGCTCCTCTCGTATGGCACTTTTAATTGAGCGGGTAAAATACGATCAGAAAGGGATGCGCTATTTTAACATATGAATCAGATCTTACCTCTCGAACTGTCTGAGTAGTCGATTCATAACATTGTTGAAGCTGTCATCATGAATGGCGGCTATCGCTCTATAAATATAGCGGCGCGTCTCAGTCAGGTGCACGAATTCCGGCACCGCAGCCGTCGACGATGTTGGCGCTGCGACACTGACGCCGACAGCGGCAGCGGTCGCAACTGTGGTGTTTTCATCAACATTCATGCAGTTGGTTCGTGTAGTGCTCATCATTCTACAATTCAAGAGAAGGTCGCAAATCAACAAAATTTTTGCATTGTTTGAAGAGAAAGTCCCGTTAGCCCGACTGGCCCTACATGCATATGCTCATATAAATGTGCGCACATACACACACGCTCCGCACAGCACGCACACACACACACGTACCGCAGAAATGTTAACTGTAATGAAAAAGCGGCGCGCACACTTCTCGCACGCTACACTCCAAATATCGCGGGTGCCCACAATCCAGTTACGAGTTCACAAGGCATTTGCTTTATATTCAACATGTTTTACTCAACTTTCTACACGCGCATTGTAATTTATATGCTTTGCAGACTATTTGTGTTTTAGAATGTTGACTGCTAAAATACACACGAAAATGCATTTAATCGGTCACACTTGGCCTCAAAATAATTTACAGTGTGACTGTGTAGTGGAATCGTCAAATTACCAAATATGGCGCAACATTCCAATGTTGCAGTGTTGCAAAACGCAAACAGGGTAGCGCGAAATTTGAAGCATATTTTTATTTATTATTAGTCTTTAAATATACATACACAAATGTTTATTCACTAATTGTTTTAGTACCAAGCAATTATAAGATTTGTCATAAAATTATAAAATTGGTTGTATTTTATTTTATTTAAATTTCAAAGTATTTAATAAAACGCAAGCTGCCTTTTTTTTGTTTTTAATGTTGTTACCAACTTTTTTTATTAAGTCCATAATCAGTTCTTTCTCAAATGAATCTACAAATTCCAAATTGAAAACTTAAGAGAGTACATATTTAAAATTTATAGATTTGATTTCTCAGATACCACATCTTCAATAAACCTGAATTCTAAGCTAGAGGCATATCAAATGCCAAATGCTACACATTTCCATTCATGAATATCGTGGTTGCAAATCACAAACTAATTTAAGTTATATATTTTTATGCAAACAAAATGGGACTTAAAAAGTGCCACGGCCTGGACTGCGGGACAATGACAAAAACTCATTGGAATTAGATCCACGACCGAAGACAAGAATAAACTACAGAATGTACGTTGCTATTTGTTATTTTTGTGTGGTTTGTTTATGTGTGTGTGTGTGTGTGCTTGCTGTGGTTTTGTTGGATTATTTGCATTGCTGCTCTTGTTGTTGGTTTACAACTCGTCCTTCTTGGGCGCCGCCTCCTCCTCCTCCTCTTCGCTCTCCTCGGTGGGCTCGGCATCAGCCACCTCACCGTTGGCGTCTAGGAACTTGACGAAATCATCCAAAGTCCTGTCCAGATTGTAGTCGATGACTTTGTTGTCATCCTTGCGGAAGTATTTGATAGTTGGGAAGGATGAGATCTTAATGTTCTCCAGCTCGTTGGCAGTGGAGTCCATCTTGGCAATGACAATGTCGGCATTATCCTTGTACTTCTCGGCCAGCTGTTCGTAGATAGGAGCCAGCTGCTTGCAGTGACCGCACCATGGAGCATAGAACTCAACCAGAACGGACTTGCTCTTGTCCAAGGCGACGCTCTCGAAGTTGCTAGACACGAGAACCTTGACGGGTTGTTTGTCCCAATCCTCAGGCAGCTCCTGTGAGAGCAAATGCTGCTTCAGTTTGCCGTCGAGGAAGCTCTGCAGGAATGCTTCAATGGATTCGACCGACAGATCATTCGTTTCGGGCTTGTATTTGGCCATATCTTCCTCCAACTTGATCAAACGGATGGTTGGCACTTCCTCCTTGTTCATTCCGAAGAACTCAAAGATGCGAGTGTGATCCTCTTCATCGGACGAGATGGTGACGAACAGAATATCTTCGCGGTACTTCTTGGCAATCTCCTTCAGTGGGTCAACATGGGCCTCAATGTGGCCAGCCTCCTTGGAAACAAAGAACAACAGATGCGACTTGATTGAGCCGCCGAAGATCTTTGCAGCTGACTCATGGTTGAAGTCCACAATCAAAGGCAAAGATTGCACCTGAGCGAATTTCTTGAGGTTTTCCTCATTCAGCTCTCCCTCGAACACGGATTTCTTTTCATCGAATGGCTTGAAGAGAATGACACCATTGTCCTTAGCCTCGTATTTGGCAATAACATCGGCATTGCTGGTGATACCGAAGACGAACGAATCCAAGGCGTTGGCAGCCTTGGTGAAGACCTTGGCCTCATCCGATTCAACATCCTTGAAGAAGCCAATGATGGCGATCTCATTGTCCTGCAGGAACTGCTCGGCATCAGCCACGCTGGTCAAGTCCTTGGCTGGTGGGCCAGTCTTCTTGGTCACCCAGGCAATAATGTCGGCGGCCTGACGTCCACCATTGTACTCCACGGGCGAACCGCTGCGGAAGAACTTCAGCGTGGGATAGCCACGCACCTGATACTGTTCGGCCAGGTCACCCTCAACGGTGGCGTCAACCTTAGCCAGCTTAATGGGCGATTCCTTCTCGGCCAACTGTTGGGCAGCCTTGGCATACTCGGGCGCCAGAGCCTTGCAGTGTCCACACCATGGTGCATCTAAAACATTGAAAATGAAGGTTAAAATTGGATATAAATGATAATTTTAAAGTGATTAACTGATGGAATATAATTGAGTCTATCGTAGCGTATCACATTAATTTAGTTTATTGGAAAATTGCAAATTTAATGAATAAATTTCAATAGTTGCTCTTATCAAATGATATAAAAATCACTTTTATTATTATAAACAGATTATATCTGGATATTATATATTGTTCTCCATTTATACGATTCATTCGCTTGGAAAATCAAATTGTCGCAAATACGTAGGCGTAAGAGTGGGCGTAGCATTTAAATATTTTACGCTACATTTAACATGGTACAGCAGCTGTTGGAAATTATGCAAATCCCACGTGTTGAATTCTGAAGAGCTGTAAGGTGCATACAGGCAAGAGCGAGAGCGCACGAAGATGAAAGAAGCGAGGCGAGAAGAGAGACAGAGACACAATGACATAACGTGTGTGTGTTGTCGATGCTAACTGCACTCTTATCGACGGCTTAAGCTGACGTGGCCTTGATATATAGTCAAGAGAATGATAAGATTCGCAAGGTGAATCGCGAAGAGCATTATCTGATCGAAGCCAAGTAACGACACTCCACGCTGTTGCTGACGTTGACACATTGCCAAATTGTCAAATAGTGAAACGTAGCGTAAACAGCTGAACTGCTGGCTTAAGCAAACCACAGACACAGGGATAGCCGCTGTTGCTGTCAGAGTCACAGCCGCTACATTGACGCACTGCTTGGGCACGCGCTTTACGAACAAAAACAACAGACAACAAAACACAAACAAAGAGTGTAACGAAAACTGAGAGCGAATTAATACAAAACGAAAGAGTTGAATGAACTTCGTTTGCTGCGCAAGCGCGAGCGCATTAAGCGTTGCGTACGGTGTTAAAAGGGCAAAGCAGAATAGAAAGCAGCGCACAAAAGAGAGACGGACAACATTCTCAAGAGCTGTTTAGCTAACCCAGTTCCAAAGCGACAGTTGCTTGGCAACTTTTTTGTTCTAAAACGAAACTGATGAAACGGATGTAGGCAACCGAATTGCGAGTATAGGCTACAGCTATTGCCACGCCCGGGGCGAAGCGAAAGCAATGCAATACGACACGCCGTATTGATAAAAGTAAGAAATATGAAAATAGAAACTGTTGCGAGGCTTATCTCGTTATGAGGACGCCGCGCGGCATGAAAGAAAAAACGATAAGAGCAGGAACGCAACAACTACTTTGACTGCCAAATGCCAACAATGCTGACCCTCTTGGGAAATGTGTCGAAGAATTATCTTCAACGATTTTGATGACGCGCTACTTTTGCTTTGCTTAGCACTTTAACATTTAACTTAGGCGCAACAAATGCCAGCACAGTTGTCTGCTCTCTCTTGCTCACAGGTGGAGGCCCAGTGTGCGCAACAGAGATGGTCATATACAAAGAGCGAAATTGACGCTGAACAGAGAGCCAGAGAGTGACAGGGAGAGAGGAGCTGGGCGCAAGACAATATCCGCAAAGTCTTATCGATATGCGATATACGATAAAACATAAAAACAAAAAAAAAACTATAGACAAATAAATTTTCTCTCTCAAATAAGACTTCTGTTCTCTTCCCGCCTTCACAAGCCGCAGGAAGCTTGTCGACTAGCAACAACAATGCGACTGCTGGCTAAACTGCCACGCAGACATATTTTGCTTAGAGCATCATACTGCTGGCTGGCTGAGAAAAGACCACGTAGCCTCTTGCCGATTTTCATGAATCATCTACAATAGCGGTAGCGATTAAGCGGCCGGCACTGCACCTATTTATTTATGTTATGTTAATAGCGTTGTAAATAAGAAATACTCACAGAATTCGACGAGTACAAATTCATTGTCGGTAATCACTTGTTTGAAATTGTCTACAGTTGCTACAATGACACCTTCCTCCAATTTAATATCAGCGGCCGCCACGTAGGACGCCGCGAGCAATGCACAGATTAGGAATTTCATCGCGGGCACTTAATATTTAGTATATATAAATGCTTATATGTAGGTAGATGTATATCACACAGACACACACTATCGCAACTCCAAAGACAAAAAACTACTACCGCACAATTTGCAAGCTAAAATCCAAATGAAATCGTCGACGTCCAAGCGACAGAACATTGCCTCCATATATACATATATCGAGCTGTTCGATTACATGAATCACCGGACAAAAAGAACGACTGTTTCAGCTAGTTCATTCATGTTATATTGTTTGTTGACTTAACATTATGCGCCTCTGTTAACAATAACTTCAAGTTTGAATTCAAATACTTCCGTTTATTTTAGGCAAAAGTTGCATTTAACAAAAAATAATAATGATAATAAGAACAAAATAATAATAATTTTCAACTAGTTGATTTACAATTGTTGTTTATTTTTTATTCTTTTACTTTAAATTAATATAATTACACGGATGTTACTGCGAAAACTGTTTAAACAGAACTGAATGTTTTTAGTTTGCCCAGCTGGTTGTTTTATTTACTTGTAACTTATTTTTATATAAAAACATTTGCGCGTACCGCATTTAAGAATCCTGATAACAATCATACAATCATACGCTATCTGAGTAAAAATGCTTGAACTTAAATAACTCACTGGCGTTCAAAAGGTGAAATCTGCTGAATACATTGCTCAATTATTCTGTAGAGAATATCAGCTGTCTGATTCGTACTAAAAGGTTTATCAATGGGCGGCACATGCACGAACAAGCATTTATTGCAATCCATGTCCAAGGATTTGAGATAAATGTAACCGCAGAGAAAGCTGCCAACATTCTTCGATGCTATAGTGGCATTTTGAGGCTTATCGCTATCAGATGCAGTCACACAATTTTTGCAAATGGTATTTACAACCTTCACTATCGTATCTACGTCAAGTCCACAACGCAATACGTTTGCCCTTCCATGCTGGGGTAAACTACAGGTGCCACTCTCTAAAAATTTGCCTGCATTATCAGGACGTCGAAATTGATGATTGTATGCGAGCTTCTCCACATGCACGCATTTGGCCACACCGGAGACGCCGACATGCACGACAAACTGTGTATAAATATGGATATGATGATGATGTCAGTATCACGCAATTCAACGTGATATTTATTTACTATTTATTGCTTGCCTCTGGTTGGCTTTGCCAAATTTCTTCAACTGCCTCATCAACAGCTGCGTACTCTACGGGCACCATTCGTTGCTCCAGCACATAGTCGACGCCATTACAGCTAATACTTTCGGGCAGCAGTTTCACAGCCTCCCAACTGGCATTAATTTCCTCATGACCCACAAATGGCCCAAATCCAGTGACTACAATTCGTTTACGCTCCGTTGACGACATTGTAAACACTGCCGCCCACTACAGTGGAGCACATTTATCAAACACGCACACACACACATGTAAATATATCTTTTAGTGTTAGAAAATATAGCAAACAAAGAAGAGTACGCTGATAACATAAGACGCTTCAGCAAATCTATTAATATAAATAAAATAAAGTTACAATATAGGGACTTCTTCTTGCCCATTTTGAATAAATCTTCAATTTGAAAGTAATTCGTGAATAAGTCTGTAATTTAGCCAAGGACCACCCGGTACGTTTCATTCAAATTATCCAATGTAATAAAGATAAGAAGCCAAGCTTAAAAATATTCTGTCTAAACCATGCTGTTTATTTTTGAAAACCAAATGGATTAACTCTCTACTTAAAATTTAGATGCTAAAAACTAAATCATTTTGATTAACGGTGTCTGAAAGGCAAACAGCTGATTTAGAATAGTAGTGCTGTGAAGCACCGCATGGATAGTAGCCCTGGTGGAATAAACGTATGCCAGCCCTGTTTAGGCGCTAATACACAAAGAATTTACAGACAAGTGCTTTACTGTTTCCATAAATGTTAAACAAATATTACATTAGTGCAAAAGAAATAATAAATCCAAGTATGCTGACTTAAATAGAGAAAATTTAATTCAGACACATATAAACAAAACATTCCACGCGTGCAAACTGCACAACATATTAAAAACCAGCAAAGGGGCCAACCACGAATTAGGAAGTGATCAAAGCCGGAATCAATAAATAATTGCGATTCCATAGAACAAATACACGGCACAGAGGTGCCCCGTAACATACAACACAAACCATTTGTAAGCATTTCGTCGGTATTAGCCTAATCTAATCTATTCGGACCGAAGTCGCCGACGTGGTAGACTCAAACTCGCATATTTGAACTTTGAACATTAAGAATTAATAGAATTTTTCAATTGCAGAGGCGGAGGCAAGGGCAGCAGCTGTCGATATTCCCAACCAAACTTAAAAGGTCTCACACGAGGGAAGGTACTCATAATAATGTTGTCGCGCCTGCAAGACTTTCTGTCACGCCACCGACGTAAATTTATTGTAACTGGCGCTCTGGTGGGTGGCACCATCTATGCAGCGCGCTATGCGCAACGCAAGCTAGTGGAATACCAGGAGAAGCAGGCGAGAGAATTCTTTGAACGTACACGGCGAATGCACCACTTTGAGTCAACGGAACGCACCTGCAACCAGGTGATTCTGGGAATGGGCGAGGAGATGTGCCAGGCGGTGTTGCACGAGTGCAGCACAGACGAGCTATTAGAACAGCTCCGCCAGAATCCACCCAATAAACTGGAGCTGTGGGAGCAAATGAAAATCGTCGCATTCACGCGTCTAGCCACCTTTGTCTACGCCTCCTCCATGCTGGTGATTGCGCTGCGCGTGCAGCTCAATCTGCTCGGTGGTTACATCTACCGTGACATCATGACAGAGCAGCGGCAAATAACGGATGAACTGAAGCAGCAATATTTATCACTCATCCGTCATTTCATCACACACGATGGCATACGAGATTTGGCTCGATTTATACGCAGCCAGGTTGTGGAGGTGTTGAAGTCGATGCCGCTCTCTCGTCAACTGACGCTGGCCGATACGGAGCAGCTGTTCTGGTCACTGCAAATGGCCATCAATGGTGACACACGGCACGATCCCAACTCGAAGATGAGTAAATACCTGCTGCCTGACCTAACCCGCCTGCAAGAGAGATTCAATTGTTCTCCGCTGCTGCAACAGATGTATAACGAGACGCTAGATCTGCTCGAGAGCGAGGATTGCATTGGTGTCTGCGCGCACAATGTGAGTCGCGGCTTTGTGCTCAGCTGTGATGCCATTGCCGAGTCGATGGGCGAAACTCTGCAGCATTTGGCGCCCGGCGAGCTACAACAGCAAGAGTCTCTGAATGGTGAATCCAAGCAGAGCAACAACAATAATCTGTTTGACGTGAATAAGGTTCTGCTAGCCCTGGCCAAACTGATACCCATTATCAGTGGACTCACTTCGCATGGCTACGATAGCGCTGCCCGGCCGCATAATCTGCCGACGCAGCTGCTCAGCTTTTATGTAGTGTCGGAGAAATCGAAGATGGTTGGCGCCAATGTGTACGAGTCCTTCAGCTCTGGTTAACCGACAGTCAGACTAAATATATATATATATATGTATATTTAATGTTAGCTTAAGACACATTCAAATTAAGATTATAGTATAGACGCATATATTTTTAATGGGGAACTTAATTCAGCTTAGAAAGACCATGTGTTATATGTGTGTGTATGCATGTATATCTATTTGTACTATGCCTAAGTCTCATAGCTAAGATCAGAGTATATAAACATTAAGGCAGCGGGCTAAGTCGTAAGTGATTAGAATTGAAAATAATATACAAAACGAGCAACGTGAAGGCCTTTCGAAATATAAAGATGTGAATGGAATAGTATTTATGAACAGTTTTATAATAAATTGAAAAAATTATATTAATATGTATGATTTTATCTAAGAACCACAAGTCGATAAGTCGATTTACAAACCTAGCTGGGACACGAACCGAAGTGCTCTGCTTTTAAAAGGGGTGGCGTACAGAATAGGAAAAACCGCCCTGTGCATTCTATTGATAAGGCGCGCATTTACCGACAGCTGGCGACGCGTCTCATTTGTTTATTTCATAGCTCTTGTTCAGCCTCTTATTGTTACCTTTCGGCGCTCTCTCGCTCTCTTTTTCCCTCTCTCGTTTCATAGAGCGCAGGCAGCGCTTGCGCATCAGTTGCTAAACAAATTGCAAGCGCAGCTGAACTCTGTCTGTCTACATGCATACGTGTATTCGAATGCCGAAGTATCTTTTAGGCGCAAACAAATGTGTTGTTTATTAACTAAGCTTACTAATGCTATCTAACATACACATACACACATATATAAATTAGTAAAGCATTGTCATTGCTTAGTGATAGCCACATCTTGCGTGCTCTCTCTCTGCCGCACCGCTCTCTCACTCTGCCGCTCGCTGTTCGCTCCTATTCGCTGCGTCTGCTGCCCAGCTGTCTGGCCGGAGTCTAATTATTATATACATTGGCAGCGCAGTTGCAAAAGTTACGTGAAAACGTAAAGGACAAGCGGCGCGCCTTCTTCAGCAACGGCGTGTCTGTGCGTGAATTTGTGTGCGCGCGTGTGTGTGAGTGTGTGTGTGTGCTCGCAGTGTGTTGTGCAAACAGAAAAACAACATCAAGCGATGTGCAGAAACGTGCAAAATATGCTGAGAGCAACCAAAATTGGCTACTGCCACTAACTGAAATAGAAATCTCAGCGAAAATCAAACGAAAATCAAAGCAACTAACAAAATTTGTGTAAGTTGAGTTCACTAGTAGAGCCACATGTTTAAAAAAGTACGGTTGGGTTAAATGTATCCTTAACCTCCAAAAGTCAGAATGTTAAACAACGGCATTATTGATTAAGACAAAGGAAAAAGTAATTTCCACACACGCACATACACACATGGATATAAATATGTGCGACAGACAGACTAACATGTGCGTGCGTTACCGTTAGTCTATCCCGAACGGGGTGGGTGCAACTGGCAATGCAAGTGCTAAAGCTGACTCTACTACAGTTCAAGCCGTACACTCCATGTCAGCAGGGAAAGCCCCTACCGCCCCCAGTGTAAGCGACAGGGCGAGCGTCATAAATTGTGCGTAAGCCCCACTCACATGTGAGGGCGCGTGTGGAGCTAAAAATATAAGCGTATTAGTAGTCGCATGTAGAACTAACGCATGTAGAACTAGAACGCAGAACTAACGGGCCCACAGAAAGCCCATTTCTTCATTTGGTTATTTGCCTATGAAAGGCACTCCTGCCCCCAGCCAACGCCAAAGTCGAGTGGGCCAGCGTGCGAAGCACAGACAACAACAGCAACATGGGAGCCTCTTGCCACGCCCCCCGCCTTAAGCACGAACGAACCATAGAATATTTATGAAAACAATGCATGCAAGTCAAGAGCTGGTCCGTCCATGAGCCCATTGACATACTAAATGCAGGGGATCAAGTGGCTTGACAAGAAGCTCCCCAACCACACAGCAGAGCCAACAACAACAACAACTAAATATATAAATAAATATAAATTGAATAAGCTTTGTATAGGTGCTTGATTTGCCAAGGGAAGTTGATAGATAGCTATGAAGGAATGACAATTGGTTAATGATATATCATATAGATATAATATAGGGAATGCTTTCGAGTTTATTTATATTTCATTAAGGAATTCCATTTTTAACTTAAACTTTTCTTTACTAAAAATCTAGAATATCAACCCTTAATAGTAAAGTTCATATAGTATTTTAATATCTATCTGGTAATTACATATCTAAATCTATTAATACAGATATGCAATGTATATATTCTTAGGGAATGCTAGGTACTCCATTAATCTTGAAATGTTGTTGAACTGATTACACTTCCATAGCTAGATTCTTAAGAAATACTGGAAACTATTCAATAATGTTGTGTGCCAAAAGCATGTTTAATTTCATATCAGCAAAACATAACGCTGCCATGCCCAAGCTTCAAGCTCATCAAGTGATAAAGCGACAAAACTTGTTAGAGCAGCAGAACTATCGACAATAATTAAGGGGGAAGTTTGCAATGTACCCGAATGGAAGGCAATATGCGAGTAGCTACAATCAACCACTGAATAGCGTAATCACCCCAATGCACACACACACACACAAACACACAGTGCATACTTTATACATTTGCTTTGTATGCAACATGCCAGAGAAGTCCTACTTTTGCAACATGAATGAAAGGCTATAACTACATTTTTTATGAGTTCTGGAGTATAAAGTTGCTTGCCTCCTTTCCTCCCTCCCTCTCTCTCCCTCTCTCTCGCTCTAGCCGCTGTGGGCATTATTCGTCTTCGTTTGTTTGGCTTGTCAAAACCGTCAAAAACAGCGATAGACAAGCTGCCAGCAATCAGCCAGCCAGCCAGCCAGCCAGCCAGCCAGCCAGTCATCCAGTCAGTCAGTCAGTCAGTCAGCTCGCGTCCTGTGGTAGCCACTATAAAACTAGCACTCAAGAGACTCGCCACAACAAGCCACACTGGCCTCACATGCACCCCATTGCAACCCCCTAACAGCACATCCCAACACCAACCACAACACCAGCCCCAGCCCAAGCCCCTGCTCCGATTCCAATTCCAATTCCTGGTTGCAGCCGCAGGGCAAAGCACTGAGCACACTGAGCCGCAAAAGAGTATGCAAAATAGTTTCGTAAATGACGTTTGATAGATGGCTGCATGGCTGAATAGATAACTTCCCCGCCTGGTCTATGGCTCTGATTAGTTCTGCATTCCATTCCTTTCCGCTTCTGAATGCCGTCTAATGAAGCTGCCTGGGCTAAGTCCAAGTAAAGCGCTGCTCGACTGTAATTAGTTGCCTATGTGTGTGGCAGTAGGCGGAGGGGATAGAGGGAGTGGATGGAGGGGCATAAAAAGCTGGCTTGCTTTGACTCTATCTGGCTATAGTTTTCTTTTATTGCGCATACGCCCCGTTGTGTTATTGAGCACAGCTCCTCGAGGCAGCAGCTGGAGATGAAAAGAAAGAAATACCCTGCATTGAGAAACTATATATATTACTAATCAGTACATCTCAAGTACCAGTAAATTCCTGTTCCCCGTTAGCTACTTCTGCAGGAAGACAGTGTACCCTATCTGGGTATTTTCATGGAGTATTTCTTATAAAAACCGATTTGTCACAGTCTACCAAATGAAGCGTGAAATGTGCATTAAGTGTTTATATCTATATATAATAGAAATCCAAATAAAATTTGCAATTTATTCTGAAATTTATATAGAAGTACTTTACCAATCCCGAGGGCATGACAACGACGTTGTAGCTGTTCCAATTAAAAGCGTCATCATCAAAAGGGTCTCTTAGACGCCCCTCATTGGATGTGTCATAATTTATGCAGATAAAAGTTGACGCAACGTGGCCGCGACTCAATTGCGGTTCGATATAGGGTTAGAGTACAAAGCACAGTTATTCGTGCGAGGGCAGCGGACTAGCATAGATCGACGGAGCGGAGTACGAACGGACAAACCGAAGCGAACGCATCGTACAGATCATTAACAAAGGTAATTAGTCAAATGCTGTTGTTAAATGCTATCAAGTGAATTGATCTGCATGTTTACTGAAAATACATACATATACTCGTACCACATAGAGTATATGTAGATCAAAGAAATGTCTATGAAATTGTTTACAAACATCGCACAGAAACATGGCCAGGTTATCTGGCTGAGCCGTTAGCCAACTTTGAGCTCCACACAGTGAGTGAGCGATCCAGCTGCAACGCGCGAGCTAATTGACAAATCGACTCCAGGGGGTAACATCCGAGAGCTGTGTTCAGAATGCGACGTCCGAAAATTTCGCTGAAGAAATATTTCTACTTTACGCTGATCTGTGCGCTGCTTCTAATCTTCGGGTTCAATCTCAAGTGAGTAAAGCATAAATAAATAATACATATATAGAGCAAATAGGTCAGGTGCACACTTATATTGGCGATTTCAGGGAGAAGGAGATATGGAAGTCGGGAATCACGCGACCCGCTCTAACGCCCGCAGCGTCGCCGCTGCACCAGCAGCGACGTGAGATTAGTTCAAAACAGGTGAAGACTTCGTCTTTGGTGGATGCCACAGTGATATATGCTTCAGCGCCGCCAGCTTCGCCTGACTCCCTGCCCGACCCAGCTGAGTCACAGCCACAGCAGCTGGAGGCCGAGGGCGAGGAGGTGGAGGCAGAGGCGGAGTCCGATACTGCAGCCGATAAGCGCGCTGAACCAGCGCCCACTGCCAAGCCCTGGTTCTTTCGCAATGGCGAATACTACCCGAAGCCGGCGAAGACCTTCAGCAATCGCAAGGCCCGCAAGCAGCATGCCCCCAAACTATTCCCACACCAGGATCCGCACAACGACCGCGTCATCAATCAGCTGATGTACGTGCCACACAACTACGATCAGATCAAGGCGAGTGGCAAGCTGAAAACCATCCTGCTCTACAACGGACTGGGTCCGTGGAATGTGAAGAAGGGGCGAGAGGTTTTCCTGCGCTCCAAGTGCCCCGTGGACACCTGCGAGCTGACTGCCAATAGGGATCTGGCCAGCGTGGCAGACATGATACTATATAAGGATAACTACATTCCAACGGGCATACGCCGGCCCAGCAATCGCAAGCAGGTGACCATGATGTACTACCTGGAATGTCCCTACCACACACAGAACGTCAAGGTGCCAGACGCCATCAACTGGACGGCCACATATAGGTGAGTTAGATGAGAGAAGAGTTGACCTTGCTTAAATCCTCTTCACAGACGCGACAGCACTGTAATGGCGCCCTATGAGAAGTGGCAATACTATGACACGAAGCTGCAGCAGCAGGAGCAGGATCACAACTATGCACTGAACAAAACGAAAAAGGTTGCCTGGTTCGTCTCCAATTGCGGAGCACGCAACGGCCGACTGCAGTACGCACACGAGCTCCAAAAACACATTGAGGTGATAAGATATCTCGCTCTCTCCCTATCTCTTTAATGCTTATCTTAATCCCCTCTCTTGCAGGTGGATATCTATGGTGGCTGTGGCAATTTCAAATGCCCCCGGAGCACCGCTGACAAGTGCTTCGATATACTGGACAACGATTACAAGTTCTACTTGGCATTCGAGAACTCCAACTGCAAGGATTACATCACGGAGAAGTTCTTTGTGAATGCACTGAATCGCAAGGTGTTGCCGATTGTGATGGGCGCCCGACCCGAGGATTACGAGGTGAGTGCTCCGCGGCGGTCCTATATACACGTGGACGAGTTCGCCTCGCCCCGAGAGCTGGCCGAGTACCTGCACATTCTCGACAAGGATGACGAGCTCTACAACTCGTACTTCAAGTGGAAGGGCACCGGCGAGTTCATCAATACGTACTTCTGGTGCCGCGTCTGCTCCACGCTCCACAACGAGGATCAGCTGCGTAAGTCCAGCTGGTACTCGGACATCAACGAATGGTGGCGGGGTCCTGGGGTCTGCACCTCGGGCTCGTGGCGCAACTTCAAGGCGCGCATGGACGTGATTAGCGATGATTGAGGGGGTGACGTGGTCCAGATAGTGGACGGCGCAGGTGTCTTTACATAATCAAAATCCAATACGTGTGGCTATACAGTATATTGTTGTTGTTTTTGTAGAAATCTGTTTGTACTGTATTGTAAGAAACGAAGCAAAGACAAGCAAGCAAGCACTCCCCTTCGCTTTTAACGAAGAACCGAAACAAATTGGTTTTCTAGCTAGAACTAAGTGCTTCACAAAAATATGTATGTATGTATATGTATTTATATATATATATATTCACATGCATGAGCAAATCGAAAATCAAACGAGCATGGGGCAAAAGCCTCGGTATAAATCGAGGAATAAACATGTTCCTTCCAGGATTGAGAGAAAACGCTTATGGATAGTCAGATGCAAGGAGACAGAGACAAGCGCATAGAAACTAGCCTATATATAGACTAAAGATCCCGCGAAGATCATTTGTAACATATACAATACGAGGAAAGTAAAAATCCAAAATAAATTGAGCATAAATTAGCATAGTTATACAAATTATATAGTACTCAATGTATATTTCAGTTGTTCAAAGAGCAAGTCCAATTTAGTGCATAGGCCAAAGACGTATGGGACACAGAGACATACGGACACACAAAATGAATGTTCATTAGCGGAGTTAGTATATACATACATATATTCTGTATGCGATATATAGCTTATATATATGTAGATCGTAAGCCGATTGCGTACGTATATACCACATACATAATTATAGATCGTTTTGTAAGCATTTTTGTAAGCAACAAAGTCAAGATCATTTCCTTTTTATATTTTGCATATTTAGATAGTCTCGATTGCATAGTCTTGCTCTTAGTTGGATCAACAGATATAGTAGATAATCATCGCACAACAAACAAGCGCAATACTCAGACTAGTCTGAGCCCTAATCTGTACGTTAGCTTTTAAGCTGCAGCAACAACAACAACAAACATTCCTATTTTATACACTTGCTGAGAATAATATTTAGTTTCCGTTGGCAGCCAGGTCTATAGCAGATCTCTAGCACTTTGAGCTGACTTGGTATATATAGCTTATTACTTATGTTTAGATTATTTCGCAATATTAGGATATTATCTTAGCCAATGTACTTATGTATACCCATTCGGTATTATTTATATATATATATAATATATATTTTCAGTAATGTGTATAAGTGTTAATTTTAGTTGTGAACTTATTGAACTGTGTGTGTTTTACAATATTTAGCATTACATATATATATATTTATTCGGTAATATTTAATTTGTAAGCATTTAATATCATATGTGTATTTTGATTATGTATTGAATTAATTTTTAATTTTTACTGTGATAAAAAAAAAAGTAATAAGAAAAGAAAATAAACAATGGCAACAAATACAACAAATGACGCTCAATTCTTAATCACTATTTCAAATACTATTATCAGGTGTATGGATAAACCTATGGCATTCGTGTTCAAAGTATTTTGGATGAGCTTAAAAAGCAAACGTATACAAAAAATGTCGTATAATATCGACGACAGCAATGCAAGCTGTGCACACATATTAAAACGATACTTAACAAATATTAACGCTTGGCTCTTCAAATTTTAGCCTCCCTCATAGCTGGCTTCAGTTTATAAGTAATAATAATAATAATCAGAAGCACCAGCACCAGCAGCAGCAGCTGCAGCTCACACATGGCACATTTTTAGCTGCATAAGCAAATCTTTCAAGTTGTTAAGTCTCTCGTGCTTTTTGTTATCTCCAAGTGCCGTTGCTGTCACAATTTTCGCTGTGATTTTGCGTTGCAGTGCAATTGCTTCAACTTTCTTGGATAGCTATTAGGAAGATAAGAAATTATAGTTGTTTGTCAACCAGAAAGCAATACAATAGCTACCTCGTAAGCGCGTTTAATAATGCCATGTGGCATGCCCGCCAGCTTGGCTGCATTGAAGCCGTACGACTTGGGACAGGCGCCCGCTGTGTATTTGTATAAGAAGGTGACCGTCTCCTGGGTGGGATCTGCATTGTCCTCGTTCTCAACCATGCAGGCCATATGGCCCAGGGTAATGCGCTTGTCCATGTGGAAGAAATCAATCAGATTGTGGTAGTGCGTGGAGAACAAGGTGCGGCACTTCAGATTGGCCAAAAAGTTCACCACAGACGCTGCAATGGCGGTGCCGTCATATGTGGCCGTGCCGCGTCCCAACTCATCGAGCAGCACTAAGGAATTCGGTGTGGCATGCTTAAGTATAAGCGATGTTTCATTCAGCTCCACGAGGAACGTGCTGTGCCCAGCCAGGATGTCATCCTGAGCGCCCAGCCTAGTGAAAATACGATCCACAAGCGACATCCGACAGCTGGCCGCAGGAATGTGAGCACCCTAAGCAAAATATTGTAATTATTCACTGAAATCAATTCATTCCCAACGGCTACTCACAATTTGTGCCATGATGACCAGCAAGCCGAGCTGCCGCATCAATGTGCTCTTGCCGCCCATATTTGGGCCAGTGAGCAACGACAGGGGGGCCTCCGTCTCTGTGCCAAGCTGCAGGCCGTTGGGTATATATGTAGATGGATTGGCGCATGGATGATAGCCCTCCTCTAGTTCAATGAAGGGCTGAGCCTGTCCCGACACGAGCTCTGGCACACAGATGACCAGCTGCTGGCGCGCATATTCAGCCAGACCGGCGAGCACATCCAACGTGGCCACACAGTCGATGCACTGCTTCCACTGTTCGTAGTGATTGGAGAACTTCTCAAAGAGGCGACGCGCCAAGTCCTTGAGTACAGCATTGCGGGCATCTTCGGCCTGCTGCATGTCCTTCAGCATCGCCTTGGTCTCCGTAGTGATGTAGCGGCGAGCTGGCTTCTTACCCTTCACCTGGCCCTCCAGCGCATACGTCTTGTTGGCCTTGTGGGCATGTGTTTCGGGCACCTCTAACTGGTAGCGCTTCTTGTCGGAGCCAAAGTAGGTAACGCGACAGCCAAAGTGACGCTCTTGCTCCTTCAAATAGGCCTGCAAACGCTCCTCGACCTCAGCTATGCGCTGCTGCACCTCATCGTAGTCCGCGTCCATGCCCGGCTGCGGGGCGACGACGCCCGCCTTGGCAGCTGCCTCGTGGTCGAAGGCGTTCTCAAAGAACTTCAGCTGCTTGCTGAGGTCGGGATAGTTGCCCCCATTGGATGACAGCTGAGTCAAGCGCCTCAGTAGCGTCGTTTCACATCGTTGGAACATCTCTGGCAACTGCATCAATGTCTCAAATCCCTTGAGGATGCTCATAAAACTGCGCAGCTTTTGTTTATTGTAGAGCTTCTCCTCGAAAAGTATGGCCCTGGAGTCTGGATGCTCCGTTTGGCTTATGAATTTGTTGCCAAACAAATGAATCTGAGCCAAATGCCGCTCAAAGTCCGGCATAGGCGCCAGCAAGGCGCGCAGCTGCTGCAGCTCATCCGGCTGGCTCAGCAGCTCGCCAATCGCCTCCTGCCGCTCGCGCAACACAGTCAAATCGCAGCTGGGCGCGCAGAGCCAATGGTGCAGCAGCCGCTTTCCAAACTTGGTGCAGCAGTGGTCCAACGTGGACTGCAACGAGTGCTCCTCGCCAACAATGCGCAAATTGGACAATGTGGTTGCATCCAAGACCATGTGCGAGCGCTGCAGCGGTGCAGAGGTTAATTTTGGCTTCGCCGTCTCCTCCTGCTGTTCATCGGGCGGCACATACAACTGATAGCGCGCCATAGGCAGCACCTTGGGCTCCAGCTTACACTTGGCTATGTAGTGAATGCATTGACCCAAAGCTTTAAGTGCCAACTTATAGGGCTCTGCAGGCGTGAGACCCAAGTGATCCGTGTCCGACTGCATGGTGCGCAACACCAGCGGCCAGTTGTCCTCGTTGCCAGTGCCAGCATAGTAGCGCTCCGCCAGCAGCTTCAGCGTCTTCTCTGCGCTGCAGAGCTGACTGCCAGCTCCCGGCAGCTGCTCCTTCTGTATGCCGCCCAGAACAGTGCGTAGAATCTGTTGAGTGCGAGAGCTAAGCGCAGCCTTCTCATGGAGCAACTGAGAGAAGAAATACGGTTAACAATATAGTGCTCACATGAGAGCATTGGAAATACTCACCAGCACGGGCATGTTGTGGGAGATTAGTGTCAAGAGGCGAGAGCAGCTCTTGTCATCGTCAAATTCACCCACATGGAAATCACCAATGGAGGTGTCTATGAAGCAAATGCCATATTTGCTGCTGGTGCCTTCATCCTGCTCCACTATGGCTAGCATATAGTTGGGCTGATGATTGGGGCCAATGGCGCACTGCGAGCCAAATACTTGAGTGCCTCGATCTGTGATCTGACAGATCTCGCGAGCCACAACCTTGTCGTATTTAGTGGACTTGATGCGCTTGCAACGCTCTGTCATCATGTCCGGTGTCTCCGTTTGCTCCACACGGGCGACCTGCGAAAGGAAGACGCAGATATTATAAGAGCACTCCCTTAAGAATTTCTCTACTCACCTTATAGCCTCTGTCTACGAGTATGGAGGACATCTTATCAAAAGAGATTTCCGGAAAGCCCGAGTGCGCGAATTCGCCGCGCATGTAGGTAAAGCCCAGCTCATTGACGCCCACATCGGCATCGCCGTGATACAGCTCATAGAACTTGCCCACCTTGAAGAATAGCACGCAGTCAAAGTTGTCTGCCTTTAGGACCCACCATTGGCGCATGGCCGGCGACAGCGTATTGAGGAACTTCTCGGGCACATGCAATGTGCTCTTGTCGTACTCGGGATGGTCTGGTCGCCGGCCAGCCTTGTCCTTGATCTTGTCCGGCTGCAAGAAGTCCAGCTTCTGATGTGGCCAGACAGTGGGCTCGTCCAGATTCGATGTGGTGGTCACGATCTCATCGTAAGCAGCATCCTTTTTGGCATTACTTTGCAGCTGCTGCAGCTTTTCCATGAAGGTGCCGCCTGCAACCAAGGCTGGCGTCTCAATCTTAGCCTTCTTACTAGCTGGCTCTTCATTATTATTGTTGTTAAGAAAGTTTTTTGCGGACTTCTTGCGTTGCTTCTTGGGTGTAGGCTCGTCTTCAGTGCCAGGTTCACTAATATCATCATCTTCTTCACCGCTGGCACTATCTCCGCTGAAGGTAGACTCCTTGGCATCGGGCTGATAGTCTGAGCCATCATCGGAAAAGTCTGGCTCCGATTTGGATTCGTATTCCTCCTCGCTCTCTGATTCGGGTAATGCAATGCGCTTACGTTTACCTTTGCCAATCTCCTCCTCCTGGTCGCTGTCTTCCGTAGCTGTTGGCAATTTACGTCTGGCAACTGGCTTGGATTCTTTTTTCACTTCCTTAATATTCCCATTCTGGAGATTCTCTTTTTGGAGCTCAGCTCCATTGTTACCATTGCTCGGCGCTAGTTTCTTTTTGTCAACGACTGGCGATTTGGCAAAGTAGTTGAACAGCGTATTCTTGGGCGTACCACCTGCACTAGTGTTTAGTTTCTTGGACATATTTCAATCGCCTCGCCAGGCTACCAAATGACGAATACCAAGAAAACAAATGACGCCAAAAATCTGCGCCAAAATTAAGCGGCAAATAAATAGCAGAGCAATAACAGCAGCGTAACAGCACACAGCTGTTGCTCAGCAAACTGGCTGCTCCACCGTTCGAATTTGCACATAAACGGAGCGCACATATGTTTTTCATTCTTGACATAGCTACACAAAAAGTGTGGCAACGCTGTATAAAGCATATGCTCACTGTAGTTGGCAACGCAGCAAAAGTTTTGTTTACAACGAAAACGTTTAAAATTATTCCGGAAAAGAAACAAAAATATTAATATAAACAATGTCGCTAGCGGATGAACTACTCGCAGATTTGGAGGAGGACAATGACAATGATATTGATGATGCCGAAATGGCAGATGCCGACGATGTTGAGCAGGCAGCGCTCAACCACGAGTTGGCAGAAAAGTTGCTCAAGCCGGCGCCTAATCTCATGGAAGTCGATGTCAAGGTCCAATCTGTGCGAGAACTGTGCAAGCTGCGAGACTCCGATCGTCTGCAGAACACTCTAAAGCAAATCGAGCATTATGCGAGTCGACAACGCAGCGCCGCCGAAATGCTGGGCAGCGTGGAATCAGATCCGGAATATTGTCTGATTGTGGAGGCGAACGCGATTGCCGTGGACATTGATAACGAGATTTCCATAATACACAAGTTTACCAAAGAGAAGTATCAGAAGCGGTTTCCGGAGCTAGACTCGCTCATTGTGGGCGAAATCGAGTACTTGCTGGCTGTCAAGGAGCTGGGCAACGATTTGGATCAAGTCAAGAACAATGAGAAGCTGCAGGCCATACTCACTCAGGCAACAATTATGATTGTCTCTGTGACTGCGTCTACCACACAGGGGTAAGTTATAATGTATATGACCAATGATCACATCTAATCCATTATAATGCTTTTGTAGCACCATGCTAACCGCCGCTGAGAAAGCAAAGATCGATGAGGCCTGCGAAATGGCAATTGAGCTAAACAATTTTAAATCGAAGATCTATGAATACGTTGAGAGTCGCATGACCTTCATAGCGCCCAACCTGTCCATGATTGTGGGCGCCTCAACAGCTGCCAAACTGTTGGGAATTGCCGGCGGTCTGACCAAGCTCTCCAAAATGCCGGCTTGCAATGTGCAGGTGCTTGGCTCGCAGAAAAAGACCTTGTCGGGCTTCTCCCAGACCCAAATGTTGCCACACACTGGCTACGTTTACTACTCACAGATTGTGCAGGATACGGCGCCCGATCTGCGACGCAAAGCAGCGAGGCTTGTGGCTGCCAAGTCGGTGCTCGCAGCGCGTGTGGATGCATGCCACGAGAGCGTGCACGGCGAGATCGGCTTGAAGTTTAAGGAGGACATTGAGAAAAAACTTGACAAGCTTCAGGAGCCGCCACCGGTGAAGTTCATCAAGCCGTTGCCAAAGCCCATCGAGGGCAGCAAGAAGAAGCGAGGTGGCAAACGCGTGCGCAAGATGAAGGAACGCTACGCGCTGACCGAGTTCCGCAAGCAGGCAAATCGCATGAACTTTGGCGACGTGAGTATACTGATTTGACTATATTTTTATATGTATTAAATATTTATAAACTTCGCTTTCAGATCGAGGAGGACGCCTATCAGGGCGATCTGGGCTACTCGCGCGGCACCATTGGCAAGACGGGCACCGGTCGCATTCGCTTGCCTCAGCTGGATGAGAAGACAAAGGTGCGCATTAGCAAGACGCTGCAGAAGAATCTACAGAAGCAACAGGTCTACGGAGGCAACACAACCGTGAAGCGTCAAATCTCTGGCACAGCCTCCAGTGTCGCATTTACCCCGTTGCAGGGTCTGGAAATCGTAAATCCACAAGCAGCTGAGAGATCGCACACAGAAGCCAAGTACTTCTCGAATACATCCGGGTTTCTGTCTGTGGGCAAGCGAACCACCTAAAGCAACTACAATATAATCATATAAAATAAATGTAAAATTATAAAATTATGCACTTTTATTTAGCGAATTGTCGGCATTGTAAGAGACTCGAAGCGACACGAAATAAGTTAGGCCTAATAAAGCTGCAGAGATTCTCGGAATAGTCCTCAATTGGATAGCTGCGTTAACTAAGCTTGCCCACCTCCAGTTTGCGTTGTATAGCTTCCAATGAGTTGTTGAGCACCACAGCCAAGATGCCCGCCACGGTGAAGACGCCGCCAATGATCGAGCAACAGTTGGTGGCAAAGTGGCCAAAGGAACTGGAAGCAATAATAATAAATTTACATTTTATTAAATATCATTTTACGCAGCTACTTACACATGCCTCTCGGCATATTTGACCATCAGTGGAGATAGTTCATAGCTAAAGAAAATACCGGGCATGCCCCGTTCCCGATCTGTGAGATCCTTGCGATGTCTCGTAACGGAGAACTGATTTGTATATATGGGTTTACCATCGCTGTGGCGTTCATAAAGCGTCGGCACAATTTTCAAGTAATAATTAAACATTTCACTCTTCGACTCTGCAAATAAAAATATCACCGGTTAATTATTAACTGTTTTAATTAAATTTAAATTCGAGTTCCTATTGCTAAGATTAGACTAAATCCATTGAGTGTCATTCTGCTACAACACACAAGCGCCATCTACATATTGAAAATATCATTAGAGTCAGCTCCATGCGTTGGCGCCAGCTGGCGACTAAAATTCAGTTTTCTAACACAGGGCTGCTTTGGCACACATGTTGACATTCTGACAGCTACAAATAAGCCAACATACAAATTGTTGTTTTTGAGTCGGCGACGACAAAAATATACAAATTCTAGTTTTTTAGGCAATTTAGATAACTGACGCCTAAAAAGCAAATATTCATATCGTAGCAAAAGCTATACTTTTGCTTACATTCATACAACTTTAACAAAAACAACGCAACAAAGGCCAAATGCCGTTGCCTAGTGGATCCTTCTCCGCCACCCAAGGTGGGCCCACATGCTTTGATAAGATGAAGACTGGCTTCACCATTGGCTTCTGTGTGGGCATGGCCAGTGGTGCACTATTTGGTGGCTTCTCCGCGCTCAGGTAAGACTTATTTAGAGTACATTCCGGCAGCTTCCGTCGCGTGACGCAAGCGCCTGGCACGCATTATGTAATTGCCGGTAAATTGAATAAAAATAACTTTTTTAGATACGGACTGCGTGGTCGTGAGCTGATTAACAACGTTGGCAAGGTGATGATACAAGGCGGCGGCACTTTTGGTACATTTATGGCCATAGGCACCGGCATTCGCTGTTGATACACACACGTATATCGCTCTCCCCTCAACTGGATTGCATTTCGATTATGATTATTAGTTTATACCCAGCCTCCTCCCACTATCCCCCATTTCCCTGTATAACTAAGGCTAAGTTTCTAAGTTACCTACGAATGCAATATGCTTTACAAAATTACTCTATGTATAAGTATTTGCAATAGACACGTTGTTAAGCCAAAAATGAACTTTGTACTACTTGCCTTCAACATCGACTCGGAGCCCGTCCAGTGGATGTGTCTTGGCGAACTCAATCTTCTCGCCGAACGACAAGTGATTAATGGTGTGCGAGAGTTTCACATTTGTAAACTGGAAGTCGTGTATGTGGAACTGGCGTATGGAGAAGCTCTTGCCGGGCGCAAAGTGAAAGCTGCCAGCCATCTAAACAAGACATCATATATTAGCTGAGATCTTGCAAAGCTCTTACTGTGCTGCTTACCCGGTTCACCTCCAGATGGCCCTGTATGCGGCAGCCTTCCTTGAAGGCATCCTCGTCGGTGCGCTTGTATTTCCCTTTGCACTGCTCGATCTTGTCCACTTGCATGTTCCATTTACGTATGCGGTACGCATCCAGAACATCCTCGCAGGTATTGCAGCAGCTGTTACAACAGTTTACCAATTGTTAGAGAGTTCTTTAGAATTGTAGAATTAGACGAACTCACTGAGTTGAATTGTGCTCAGCGCCGTAACAGCTGCCACAGGTGCTGTTCTTATTTGGCGGCGAGACGGCAACAATCTCTTTGATGGGCGTCTCCTTTAGTGGATTTCCGTCCAGATCCAAGCGGTGCTTGAACACGTCGTGATCCACGCGCAAGTGTGTGTCACCCGAGGAGTCCATCGCATCCAGCGATATATAATTGCAGGCCAAATTGTGAAGCGTGACGTCCAAATTGATGCGCAACTTGTGACCGCGCGTCGTGTCCACGAATAGCTCCTCAGTCAGCGTAGGCCGCATGTAGTTCAGACACTCCAGAAAGATGAGCAGGCTTATAATACTACTACTAATAATAGTCACTACACAAAGAAAAGAGTACATCGATAGATTTTTTGTTTATTTACACAGCGCGAAACTTACCGGCGGCGCCGCCCACTGTGCGTACGCTGAAATCATCCAGGGTGCGTGGATACGCATCCAGACGACGTAAGACATCAGCGAATTTCATATTTTACACACAGAACAAACTAGAGCACAAGAAATTGTAGTAAAAACAGAATTTACATGGTTTGTTTCAAAAGACGAGCAATTGGCTAAGTGACGTGGTTGGTAAACAGCTGAAAGCAACAAAAGAAAAACAAGTCGCCAGGCTGCCACCCAGTTTAAGAGCTGCCACATCGCTGGAAATTAGTCGCTTATCCAAGTTTTCCATATCTTGTTTTAATTATTTAACCAAGGGGCAATGCTACCATTAAAATTGCTTAAGAACAGCGCGCAAACTTTTAAAAATTACTGAGCTACCTACATAGTGGAAAAAATTATTATCGAGAATTCTTAAATCAATTTGCAAGAATATAATTTCTTTTTTCATTTTCAATAAGTAGTTAAGTGTATAAATTGTATAAAACAAACAAGTATCTAGCGACTTTTACCGGTTTAGTTAGTCATAAATAAAATAAATTACAGGACTTTAAATGCATTTCGTGAATGGCATGTGGCGGGACAAGTGCTTCTGTTCCTCCGTTTTCTGCGCTTAATTAACAAAACACCCCGCCGACCCAAGGATTTACCCGCTC